GTATGTAAATACTGGGTTTGGAGACAGAGTGAAAAGTTAACGGACTGAAAGAAAATGGATTGAAATCCATGCCATTCTGGATTTTGGGACATCTGACTCCACATACCAGTCTAGAACTTAATTCTTTTCCCTGTTACACCAGTTTAGTTCCAGAATGATACCAGCAGAGTCATTCCAGATTGATATGAGTATACATGAGGCCAAGAGCTTAGCCTCCTTCTCTTCGAGGGTCATCTACAATCAAGAAGCATTATGGTCCTTGCCACCATAAGCATCGGCGTGTGGAAAGTGCAAAGCTGCGTTGCGAGTCAGGGAGCTCAGGACTGCAGTCCTTGTCTCCAAGAGTTTGGCACATTCATTGGTGCAGAGATGCCTTGGGAGGAAGCACAGGGCTGTGCCTGGGCTGTGTCAACACCCCAGTCAAGATCCTTTCTTCAGCTAAACGCCCTACCTGAAAGCAGAGAGGCTGGGACACAGTGGGGAGGAAGCATGTTTTACGTGGGTTTTGGTGTTAAACCTAGATTCATCTTGCAGAAAACAAACATTGCTTCTCGGTCTTGTTGCTTCTGATACCACATGGATTTCCATAGGCCATTTATCAAACCAAGTTGGAACTTGTGCGGACAGAATAAAATAAGCTTCACAAAGACACATATTGGCATTTCCAAGTTTGAGACATTCCGTTTTACTCTGACAATACTTCATATTTCCTGCAGAAACCTACTGGGTTTTGGCTTGTTTAAACACTGTGGTGAAGGTGGAAGATGGAGACAAAATAATCCCACCAAACCCCTTTAATCCTAGCAATGGAGTCAAGCGATGTTCACTCCTGAGCTTTCTTTGGAACTTCATTTTGCTTTATAAAACCACTGGCAGTCTTTCCTTAATCAGCAGGTGCATCTCTCTCTGAAAGTATTCCCATCAGATTGGAGCAGAGATTTGGTTTTAATCCCTTCGCTCGCATAGCCCTGTGCCACAGACACCACCCTGCCTCATTGCTTCTGAGCTGAACGGGGATCAAGCGGGATATTGAGAAAGATGTATATCTGCTGACTAGTTAATGTACTAAACATTTTTTCTCCAGCAACACCTTCCTTGAGAAAAAGATAACTGCTTCTTAGGCAAAAAAAGCAAAAAAAAAAAAATTCAGGTGTTTCACCTCCTGGGCTTTCTTGTGATCCCATTTTCATTCCATAACTGCAGTAATGATGCTGCTGCATATATACCTCTGATTTTAAAACCTAGCTTCAAGTTAATGCCCTGAAATTCTGCAACAGCCTAGAATTTCTTTACTGCTCTTTTTAAAACCCTAAACATGGTCACATTCTCATTTCTTGCTGCTTATGAAACGGCCACAGAGCAATATAGGTCCCAGCTGAATAGAAATATCTACAATCTAATGCTAGCATTGAAGCTTGTACCTCTAGACCTTGAGACAATAATTTAATTTTTATATGTTAATTGTTCCATACTTATTAATAATTGTTTAATAGTTTAATCACTGAAATATAGAGTGACTAATTAAGAGGAGGGGGTTAATCTCTCACTGGTATAAAAAGGGAGTAAACAGTTCCAGGCTGAAGTTAAAGGAATTATTCTAAAGGCAAATTCCAGTTTAATGCTGGTATAATTCAGGAGTCACCGTAGTGAATTGATCGGTGCAAGTGGGATCAGAATTTGGTCTGATTTCTGTAAAGAGTTTTGGAGTCCAAATTCATGATCCTCAAACACATCTAAAAGCCTGTCGCATTCAGGTATGCCTCTTAATCTTATTTTGCAGCAAATTAATGCAGTTGCCTTCACTGGAGTCATTCCTGTCTTACACCAGAGTTAAAGGGGCCAGACTGGTGCTCTGTGAGGACAGCAGCCGTCCTGAGCACTGCATCGTGTATTCTGCACAGGTTCAGACAACGCAGTTTAGGTTGTCATTTGGGGTTGCAGTGAGGTCCTTGAACTCCATTTTATTGATGAGTTGGATGAAAAACAGAGTAGAGGAGGCCAAGTTATTGGGCCAAATTCCTGCACTAAGCCACTTAAATGAAGGCCTGATCCGAATGTCATCGTTCACTTGATTGCTCATATCCCCAGAGTGAAAAGCTTTGATTTTACCACTGACGACTCTTCTCCTGAAATATGAAGCCAACACAGCTGGGCTGGCAGCTCTGCACTGACTGCATCACTAATATTGCCATGCCTGTCACAGCAGGTATATTCAGCACATTCATTTAATCTCTCAAACACCCTTGACAGCATAATGGCAATGTGGCGGGATGTTCGGTGATGAAATAATTGCAAGTAGGATGCCTGGGGGCACTGTTCCTGGCATGTTAATGTAGTCAACATTTTTTGAAGGAGCCCCTTGGTTTAAGTCACATCCTGCCTTCAGGCTCCCATGCAGAATAACCTGGTGGAGCAGCTCAATGGCTGCAGAAGGCCCTGTGGCATGGGTAAATAACCAGCCAAATTTTTCCCTGTCATATTTATAAAAGGCAAGCCCATTCCT